AAAAGATGTTTATAAAAAATAAATTGATCTAAATTTCTTTTATGTGATTATCTCATAGACTAAAAATGATCACTAATTAGTTGTTCCTAATTTATGTATTTTATAATCAATAAATTTTTTTTAAAAATAATCAAAAAATTGATAAGTAAAAAAAGAATCAAAAATGTTTTAACTGCTCATACTAAACTTTCTCATTTTAAAATTAAAATCATAAAATCATAGTTAAAATTGATTTCTTATTGGTATATCTTTAAGATTACTTAATTTACAAACATATTTTTCTAATGTTTTTCTAAAATTGTAAGAAATAAATTAATCAAAGATTTTTGTATCAGAAATTTTCTGTTTTATCAAAAAAATATAATTATGATTTTAAAGAATTTCTAATTCTGATAGAAGAAAATTAATTATATCTCACTTCATTAGTTAGAAAATTTTTTATAAAAAAGACATCTTACTCATCTTTCAAATTATAAAAAATAACAAAAAAATTTAAAATATCCTTTTCAAAAATATTATTTTAATTTTGTTTATCTGCTTGATTATTTAATTATATTCCAAAATCTTTATTCTCAATAAATTTTAAATACTATTATTTGGTTAAAATAAACTATAAATTAATATCAGTTTTTATCAAATCCCAAAACATATTTTTTGTAGATCTTATTAAAATTATGATTAACTCATTTTTTAAGATTTTAGAATGTTCAAAGAATTTATTAATTTATTAAAAATGTTTTATTAATTTAAGTAAAATAATTAATCAATTTATTTTTATTTAAATTTTAATCTATTTTAATTCATTAAATTTTAGTGTCAAAAGCTATTTGATTCTATTTTTTAATTTAAATTTTTAAGAATCTTAACATAAAAATTTTTTTTGCTATTTCATAATTTATAAAGTAAAATCAGCAATATTTTTACAACTCCCTGCACCATAAGGAAGTTTCTAAGCAGATTTATCTGATGGGCTAATTGAATTTTACATGATTTTGTAAAAAATAATTTTATGAGATGATGATGAATATTCTGTAGTTATTCTAGGAGAAGCCCTCTCATTTTCTAGAAAATTTTTTATTTTAGAGAGCTATTTTTTGAAATTTTGATAAAGTCAAAAAGAAATAAAGCTTGATTATTATTAGGTATACTGCAGTATAATAAATTTTTTTAACATAAAATATGTTTTATAAGGTCTAATCTATTAAAATAAAATAAAAATATGACATATAGTTAATCCCTATTTTTTTTAAATTATAGTAAGATGATAAAGATAATATATAAAAATTTATATTCAAACTACAAATAACAATAGAAGGAAATAAAAAAGATCCTTTAATCCCATATATCACATTTTACAAATGAATTAAAACCAAAACTATTTGTACATATAAATTGACTTATATCTTTGATTGTATTTGATTTTACATAATATTTACAAAAAATTATATTTTATAAAATAATGAAAAAAAAACAAAATCTTGAAATCTTTTTATTAATTAAATTATTATCTATAAAAAAAAATGATCGAACTTTAGTATTAACTTTTTAAAAAATAAATAACAAATTAAAATTAAAATTTTTCTATTTTATTAATTAAAATAATCAAAAAAGTATTCAATTATGAAAAAAAACAATAAAAATATATAAATGTAGAAGCAAACAACAAAGGAATATATAAAATTCTCAAATAAATTAGACTTAAGAGCTTTTTTTAGATATTTAATATTATTTTTTTATTTGATTTTCAATAGTCTCTAAGAATTAAGTTTAATTGGAAGATTAATCATTGAAATAAATATCTTAATTTTTTTTTGATATATATTTGAGTATAGTGTTACTATTTGAAGAAATAATTGGCTTATTTGGCGAATCAAGTTAATAACTATCTTCTTCCGATTAGTAATTTTATTTTTGAACTTTTTTTAGAATTTTGTTGCATTTTTTTTAATCATTTGATAAAGAAATCCTATCTCTTAATTATAAATTTTATTCATTTAGTTATTCTAGATTCAATATAGGTGAACATTCTCTAGTTCTTTGAGATAAAAGAAGTAGTTATGATTTGTTATCTTTTAAGCTATTATTTTTTTTAAGATTTGATTTATTTGAATCTTAAAATTTAATTTTTGGTGAAAAGTTGCTTAAAGTAGGATTTTAAAATATATTTTTTTTTTAGATAATAAAAGAGTCCTATTTTTACAACTATGAATTTCCTTATTAAATTATTAAATATTTTTTAAAAATATTTTTAAAAATAAAAGCTTACTTGAATATTAAGAGAGACTCTTCTTAAGCATTTATTTCTTCATGCTTTCTTATTTATATAATGCGATTTTAAAGTTAGTTGCAGCCTTCATTTACACAATTTTATTTATATTTTTTTTAATTAATATCCACCTAAAGTAAGTCTTAATTGACACTCTTTTATCATTTAATATAACTTTATGATATTTTTTAGGAATTACTATTATAATAATTT